CACACCAAGGTCAGTCTCTGAGGAAGGTTCATCAGAACAAAATTTCATAACATTTATTAAATGATGAAAAACTGTGTGTTGCACAGTTTTAATCAAACCACCCCATACCCCGATGTGGCTGTCCTTTTTTAAGTGATTAAGTTGTGGATTTTTTTTAAAAGATATATTTAATAAAACCATGATATTAAATGTATAACTAGACATCAAGATGGTATTTGTCTGTATCTTCTCTTATCCGATGGGGATGGGGTGCCGCTGTTTCCACTCAGTGTTGTGTAATAGTTATTGATCAGGGCCGATTGTTGAGTGCCGGAGTTAAGCATGACCCAACCGCTGGTATCCATCACCACACTGACAGGCCCGGTGGTTCATCCAGCATGACTCCAAGGCCACGTTGCTGCTCCACTGTGTCATGAACCCCAAAGACACTTCAAGCTCTTCACTCAAGCGTTGTATGCACATTCTCCCCACTTCACCCCCCTTTAGAACTGATGGCCCCCTTTGGCAAAAGAACGGTATTAAAGGCTGTGACCTGAGGGCCTGGAGAGTAAAGAGATTTTAGGATCTCTAATATAAGGTGAACAACAGGTAACTTACCTTAAGTGCTTATGTTTTCGATATAGGTATTTATTATTTGGTTTTTATGTATACACAATTTCAAATGAGTATATTTTGAAGTCTATTAGAATAATTAGCATAAATGCATGTTGCATAACCTTTCTCCCATAAGCTCTGTTTATTCCCAAATGTTACCTACCATCCTGATGGAGAAGGTAACATTTTCATAGCCTAAATTGTTTGGAGAAAAACAGCATACATGCAAGTTGCATGCAATGTGATGCTCTTAGTTCTCTAATCTTACAATTTGTCCTTTACACATTTTTAAGGATTGTGGTTGTGGCACTGAATCCTCCTGAATCCAACACCTTGTATTCCTGCCATCGACCCCTTTTGCGTTAGACTGATGCATTGGGAGAAGTTTGCAGAAGGTTACCACGCAAAGCCTCTTAACACCTGGTTTCAGGGATAGTTTTGACCACCTCACCTGCTAGCCTCCTGCAGCGGCCCCAGCACTTTACACCGATCCCGCTAAGACCCTGTCTGTCGTCCTCACTGATTGAATGCGGTGCTCTGGCAGTGTTACTCTGGCCAGGGGCTCGTTTTCATGTGTCTTGCATAGATGCCACCCATATCTCCTATTAATCATGGACCTCTTTCACCAGCTATGCCCTCCGCTGCTGATGACAACATAGATTCAGAATGATGCGTTGCAGATTGTCAAATTTCACGCAACAAGGCAAAGGGAGCTGCGAGGTATGATTGTGGCATGGATCACAACCATTTAGTTTTTGATACAAATATGTCTTTTGATTAATGATACAAGAATAGTTTGTTGACTAAACTGATGTTTGAGTCTGTTGTTCATACAGCTGGATTGGGAGTTGTTAACCGTGAGTCGCAACCTTTCTTCGTTGTAGTGTGAGTAAAAGAATCCTGCATATGACTGCTGTCTCTGGCTCGTTGTTCTTTGAAGCTATCAGCCGACAAATATTCTAGCTCGCGGCTTGGCTCTCAGGTCTTGAGGCTGGTGATGACACTCAGCAGACAAAGTGCCCGGACAACCTGGGCTTTAGGTGTCCTGACCTTGGAGGTTGGCTTTGAAAAAAACAACACAAGGGGAGAAAGAATGCCCCCTATGCTGCACAAGCTGTTGCCCCTGTCAGGGTGAAGTTTAACATGTCTCATGAGCTCCCTATGGGTTAATGGTTTTTTTAAAAGGTAAAGAGACAAATGTAATAGACTCCAGTAGTGTGTCAGATCTTAATGTTTTGAGTATGTGTGGAGTGTTATGTGAGTGAGTCTATTGTAAATGCTAAGAGGGACAATGTTTGGCCCATGGGTTCTGGGAATTGAATCACTGGAGGTGCAGAACACAAATTCACTTTAATCCATTGATCTGAAGCCTGCTGTGAAAAACGTATCATTCAGTCCAATCCCATATCAAAGAAAAACAAAATAGCAGCAATGCCATCTTTCTGTTCGTGACATTCTAGCGCAATGGTTGATAGATTTACAGCAACTTCTTTCGTTTTTCAGCTATGTGAGGTATCTGTTAAACAGATTGTTGCATTGATTTCTGGGAAGACAGATGGTGGTGTGCATGCTTCAAGACAACTGAAGGAATGAAGAATTGTTCAGCTCGGTAGATCATATCCAGTATAGTGATGTCCTTACGGTACCTTTTTAGTGCACGTAGGTGCATATGATCTCACAGACATATTTCTGAGTAGCTTTGTTTTCTTTCTGGCCATAGTTGAAAGTAGCATGAAATGCTTGAAAATGAGACAAAAATACCATTTTTTTCTGCCAAAGCAATAAGACAAATCTGTCTGCCTTGTTTAAGTCTTTAAATGGTAAGGGCATTATTGCAGACAACATATTGTATGATTTTTATTTTCTTTTGCCAAAAAAGATAGATAATGCTCAACATACTCATAATAAATAAAGAATTTTGCATTTTGCTAACCATTTTCCAGTACATCTTTGACCGAATATAATGTCAGCCCCAGCAGCCCCAGCGGTCCCATGCAGCCTCTGGCCTTCCAGGTGTCATCATTATTTGCTGTGATTGACACATTGGGATGGTGTACATTTCATTGATGAGAATTTTAGAGACCTGGGGCTTGTGATCCTTTAGCGATCAGTGGTACGTCACCCTACAGTCATCCCAGGGGCACATGGCTGGATAACCAACTAGGCAAAGCAGGCAACTGCCAAGGGGCCCCAAAAGCCCCAAGGTCACTATATATCATTTGGGCTTGCAGTAAATAATTTGATTAATTTGTTCCATGTATTAATATCATTAAAAACTAGGGAAACCAGCAAATATTCACATTTGACAAGGTGATTCCAGTGAATTTCTATTAAAAGATTTTGCTTAAAAAATTACTTAAATGACTTATCAGTTATCAAAATTGTTGCCAATTAATTTCTGTTAATCAACTAATCAGTTAATCATCTAATCATTTCCGCTATAGAGTAGTGGTTGCTTTCTGGGTGCCTGGAGAAATAATGAAACTGCCATGTGCAGTGGGGGTCAAAAGGAGCCCAAAGACATGTTTTTACCATGGGTCCCACTAAGAGGTTTATTTGGCCATGCAGTGGGACAGTAATAAATCAGTTTCAAATATTCTTTCTTTCTTCACCAAAGGCAAACTAACCTAACTTGCCATTCACATTCAGGAGTCAGCAAAGGACGAGCTGGACGGGGGCAATCATAAATAAAGACACCTCATCACACTCCGTTCAACATTCCTAACTTCACTATTATCAAATCTATCTGAATTACTAACTTAATATCCTATTGCAACTCATCGTTTGAAGTACTCAAAATTTTATCCCCAGTGATGAACAAAAGGCTAGAATGGTCAACGAGATCTAAGGGCCTAAGAGTGGAGCCGGATATCTATTACATATTCATAATCTAGAAAGTCTTCAACCATCCTCCTACACCTGTAATCTATATCTCTGGATCTCAGGAACAGCATACGTTTTAGTGCATTTGCAGTATGTACCAGTTTAAGGTTAATAAAAGTCACACAAAGTGACATAGTATTAAATAATAAATTTAACAATTTTGCACCTATATTGCAATTCTTGTTACATTCAAGTTACTAAAATGATATACTCTACAGTCATATTTTCTCATAGGGTGTAACAGAAACATCTATTGGAAAGTTAGCAGGCCTATATCACTCCAAATAAACAAAAGACAGAAAAACATTTCAATCTGAATATGCTAATTAGATCATTGTTTAAATTGTGTTACAATGGTGTTTACTAACTTTCTCCTTTTGCCTTCTTCTCTTGAAGTGGAATTATTATTATTATATCGTAGAAGATCAAAGAATACAAAAGGTTATTATTAAAACAATTGAGAATGAATCAAAACATGTCACAGGAAATAATGTTTTAACTTATGTGGCATAAAAAATAAAATCAACTAATAAAAATAAAATAAACAAAATCCAACTGCACTTGTAATGTAATGACTATTCTCCAGTAGATGAACATATAAAGGCTGTTATGGAGAAATTGTTATTTGGCAAATATCTGTTATTGTTACTTACTATATGGAGCCTTGTTTAAGAACTTTGGGGAACATGCATAATGTGCTTGGTGCCACAGCTAACTAGAGTGTCCACCACCTGTGCCGTGAGAGTGTCCGCGAAATTGTTGACCATGCGGGAACCTTACGGTACTATTCATTCTCGTGTCGGAAAGCATTTGAGGTGTGTGCTCCAATGACCTCAGGGTCACATACCATGCACAGGGGCTATGCAGTTATGCTGACCATGTTTAAATCAAAACACTGGCAATCATAGGTGGATGGTGGGAGGGAGAAGAAGAGGGACAATAGGGGGAAGGAGAGCTCGTTCTTCAGCCATGGTGAGATGGGAGAGAGCTAGGTGGTGGGTGTGTGCAAAGACTTGAAATATGTTGAAGAGACGCGTGTGTTATCTCTTCTCCTTGCCACTGGCTGTCGAGTACCTCCCCTCACGGCGTGTCGTCAGCAGTTTATCTCAGGGCCTGGCGGGAGCTGCAAGGGAAAATGGGAGGAAATCTGATCCATATGGTGGCACTATAAAGCTCACCGCTGATTTGCAGTCTTCATCAAAAATTGGTCAAGGCTTCATCACTACTCATGACTGGCATCCTCTTCTCACACCTGGCCACTGTGCTCTGAACTTCTCAGTCTCTCCTCAGCAGCACCAGTTATCTTCCTGACCCCAGGGGTGCCTCAGCAACAGTTTTCAAAGCTGATTCTTCTTAGAGAGGTAAGTTCATTTACAGCTTGAAGAGGGATGGATTTCATGTAAAAAGATGAGGAAGTCCTTGTACAAGTGATTTTTTTATGTTTAAATATGGAAATATGAAGCCAAATTTTGAATGAGTAATTATGCATTGCATGTATCTTTTTTTCTTACATTGCGTCAGATATGAAGATACTGGGACAGGTTGCTTTCCTGCTTTTTCTCGGGGGAATCTGGTGTCAGAACAACCGTAATGCTAAAGCCAGTGGCAAGTCCACTAAGAAGTCTGGTGGGAACCAAGGAGGCGATGTTGGCCAATCTCCCCCTGTGGTTGATCTGACCCCTGGAAGCACTGGAAGCAGTAGAGGCACTGGAGGCACAGCTGAAGCAGGACGAGATAGTGCTGCAGGAGCGCGAGAAGCTGGACAACAGACAGATGATATGAGGCTGCACTTCCTCAAGAACACCCAAGTTACGTGTAATGATGGAACAGCAGCTGGGTGAGATGTTGTGCATCTTGTATTTTTTCTCACTTGTTTTCCTGAAACTGTTTACAATTAAATTGTGAGATTTTTTGCCTTTTTCTGTCTGCTGATTAATACAATGATTTTAGGAGCTACGCATATGTGTCCATACATGGTTGCTGTATCTTCACCATCTCCTCATTCCTGTTTATTTGTGGTTCTACAGGTTTTACCTAAAGGAGTTCAGAGGAAGCCGCCGATGGCTGTTATTTCTGGAAGGTGAGTTTTTAAAAACCAACTGGTTAATTTGGTCCCCAAAGGTCAGATTGTTTTGGCATGATGCCCCCATTGGAATTTGGGGATGTCATCTTGTACCGTCATCTTCCGTTTTTTTCCTTTTTTGGTTGCTGCCTGTCACTTTGATTTTTATGTGTTTTGTGGAAATGTATGTGGATTGTCCTCCAGCATGACTTATGTCTGGATTCAGAGAGCATAGAAGAGGTGTGCATCGCTTTTCCTAACATTTAATGAAGTCATTTTTCTAACAGGATTTATGAGTGCCTTATTCTGAACACTAGAGCCTAATAAATTGGTTTTACTCTCCCCCCCTATAAATGTCATACTGTTGTTGTATTTGAGGGAGAAACCACTTTGCACAAGCTGAAAGTCAATCAACAACTCAGGTGCTGACAGTTTGGAAATTAAAGGAATTGTTCGTCTTTTTTGTCCAACTCGGAGTGAACATATAGTCTCATTAGCAGACCAGTCTACAGGTGCGTTCCTTTCCCTCGCCATTCCTCACAGGCCTCAATGATGGGCTAACAAGGGTCTCCACAACTGTGCCTGATGTGAATGTCTAAAATTAGTATCCATTATTTTAGGTGGCTGGTGCTGCTACAGCAAAGAGACCTGTGATTCCAGGTACCAAAATATCCCCCGACTAATGAGCTCATCAGGTTGGCCCCAAACAAAAAGAGGTCGGTCAGCCAGCTATGTTTTAAAATGCTTGTCATACATGTTTCCATAGTGTTACTTGTTTTACATAATCCTTATTGTGACAAAATGACATCCGTCTGTTCTGTAATCTGGATTTACAGGAACTGGAATATTGTCTTCTCAAGCGGAGGAAAACCAACACTGGCATAATGCAAACATTGTGTAAGTACTTGTATATCCTCACTGTGTTTCTTATTGTGGCTACTGGAGGTGTTACATGAAAACAGCCCTCAGTTGTAAATGTTCCATCCATGATGAAGATGTTAAAGCTAAATATACAGTTCTGCAGACGTTAAAATATGATTTTCTGTCTAACATTTTAAAACAGCCTTTTTTTGTTTGTGCCTTTAGTTTTATAGATTTTTTTCAACTTAAAGTTGTATTTAGTGTTTAACTTTTTTTTTTTACCACTTGTTGGGACTGGAACAAGGTGTAAGCACATTGACATTTAAGCATGTAAAATTGCAAAGTTGTTATGGATAAGTGTTAGCAAACAGTTACATATTTACATATACAGCAGACACTGGGCAACATTAGCATTCATTTAGAGTTGTGTTCATGTCTGCTTGGCAAATGCAAGTGCAATATTCACTCTCCTTTTAGCTCTGTTTTGGTCTCCACCAACTCCTGAGGGAAATGTCTGTCTCTTTAGCACCTAAATGCTCCACTATGTTCACCATTTACTTGCTAAATCTGTCCTTCTGCCATTTGGTGACAGGTAGCGCACAGCAGCACAGTGGGTTTGTAAACTTGCTTTGCTGTGAAAAAAACTACCTGCTGTGTCTGGAAAAGGTTAATGACTATGGTGAGAGTAAACTGAAAAAATACAGTTGCAGGTTGTAAAACCAAAACAATGACCTTAAAGATGCTAAAACCCAAGAGTAGGAATTGTGTTGATAGATTCAAGCTAGAGTCTAACAAATGTGATTGTCTCCTTTTCTACAGATTTATCCCGTACTGTTCCAGTGATGTATGGAGTGGCACTGGGCCTGCCCCAACCCCTCCTCCAAGGCCACGACAAGGCAGAGAAAAGGAGAGGGATAAAAACACAAATACAAGTAAGTTTCTTCCTGTAGGAATGACAGACCTGTGCCTCCCTTGGCTTTAAGAAAACATATTTAATCTTTCTGTTTAGTGCAGTGCTCCCAATCATTTGATGTGTGTATCTGTTATCAGCTGAGTACACCTTTATGGGATCCCTGATCATCAGAGAGGTCATCAAAGACCTCGTCCCCAAAGGAATCAAGCAGGCCACGGTTGTAATGCTATCTGGCACAAGGTGAGCTTGTTTTATCGCTTGAGCTCTGATGCTGTCCACAGCTTTTGGACAAGCGCACGCATCCTATGTATTATCTGGACAATACCCATGCCCAACATTAAACAAGAGAAGCCCTATTTTGGTTGCATACTCTTGTCAACAGTAACGATGTTTACAGTCAACTGTGAACAATGACATAATGTCTATTAAAGGGACTTGCTCTGTAATGGTGACCATTCCTCCCAGGTTAGCAACATGGTTATTGGGACACCCCCAAGCCCTAAAACAAGATCCACTGACTGAATGCAAAGCTGTTAAATTTTGACTTCTCTGCTATTAGCTGGCATGTGCTGTCATTTTGATACCCCTAATGAAAATGTCACTCTCAAACCCAAACTATTCACTGATTTTCTTGGATCACCTGCAGTGCTGGCGGAACAGGTGTTTTGCTGAACATTGAGAGGGTGGCCAGTCAGCTGGAGCAGCTCGGTGCAGAGACTCAGGTCCGCGGCCTCGTGGACTCTGGCTGGTTTCTAGAAAGTAAACAGCAGAGATCGCCTAACTGCCCAGAGACTATTTCCTGCTCACCTGAAGACGCTATCAAGATAGGACTCAGGTAAAGTCATGCATTCTTCAGCCAGCCTACATAGATTTTATGTACAGAAACAGGGGCCACATATGGAATCATGGAATCTCTTTTGCTGTACAGTGTACTACTGTTAAGCTTTTTTATGTGATGTGTTGAAGCGACTGAGTAATAGATGTGTGCATGTATTGACAGTATATGTTGCTTCCTCAGGTTGTGGAATGGGGTTGTGCCTGATAGATGTCGGCAGCTCTATAAGAGAGGAGAGGAGTGGCAGTGCTTCTTTGGTCACAAACTGTACTCTACCTTGACGTGTGAGTGCTGGCTAAGTTTAACATGACTTTGGATTGCTTTAGATTTTACCTGAGCTGTAATGTAATGCACTGAAGCATGAGAGGTGTGAGTGAAAAGCGAACAGGCTTCAGTGTTGATGATTATCATGCTTTTACTTCAGCTGAAGAAGTACATTCTGTTTTGCAACTTATGCAAGTCGTGGATCAAAAAAAAAAAAAGGAAGTTGGCAATTTTTCTCAATACCTGGACAGCTGATATTTTGTACATGTATTTTTGTCCCCTACGAAGAGGCTATAGTGGAAATGCACGTCATCATTGGACTGATCAGGACCCATGTAAAATCCCCACAACATTACATTACATTTACTCATTTAGCTGACACTTTTATCCAAGGCGACTTACAATTGCTATATATGTCAGAGGTCGCACGCCTCTGGAGCAACCAGCGCCATCACCCCTCCTTTTTACTACATGTAAGTTTAAAGCCCCCATGCATGGGATTGAATTATTTCTGACTGGTGACTCATAGTGCTAGTATCAAAAAATACACTGTGGAGACAGCGACACAGAATTAACCTGGGAATTTTATCATTTTTCAACAGACTAAATAAAGACAATTATTTTTTGACCACTTGGGGGCAATGTAACAAGCTGTAAACACATCTCTGACATATTATCAAAATGTAAAGCTGCTATAGCGAATAAATGTTAGCAAACAATTTACACATCCAAACATTAAAATTCATCTGGAGTCACGTTTATGGCCACCTGATGAATGTAAGTTCAATATTCACCCTCCTTTTAGCTCTGTTTTGTTCTCCACCAAAGACTGAAGGAATTGGATAATGCTCCCACATGTTCACTAGCTGGTCATTAACTTTGTCTGGAGCTGCTTGCTGTGTCCAGATAACTGATGAGCGCTGTGAGACAGAAACAAAAGAGTAAAGTTTGTTGTTTGTTTTCCCTGTAGCCCCTCTGTTTGTCGTGCAGTGGCTGTTTGATGAGGAGCAGCTGAGAGTGGAGAACATCTACATGGGAGGGCAGAGTTTGTCCGAGGAGCAGTGGCAGTACATACAGAACTTGGGAAGGGAGCTCAAGAACTCACTGAGAGATGTCACGTAAGTTCCCAAAAAACCTGTTTGGAAGAGTAACATATAATAACAGTAGATCTAATTAAAACAAGGTGATTAAAATAAAGGATAGACTAAAGCCCATAGATGACTGTACTCTTCTGTGTGTGTTTTTTAGGGCTGTGTTTGCTCCATCCTGTCTCTCCCACACAGTGATTACCAAGAGGTAAGAATGGATATTTGACACCTGTGGTGGCAATGCACTTTTACACCTTCCACTACCAGTAGTTACCTCTACAGAGTGAGCTCATGCTGCCGTTTTTGTTGCTCGTTCGTCATGCCATATTCTTCATGTCGCCAAATTCCATTCCACACTTTCTCTAACCCCTCGGTACCCCTTCAATGCACTCACTTCTTTGCTGTACAGATGGACATTACATTACATTTAGCTGACTTTTCACACGCCACTGGAGCAACTACAAGCAAGTGTCTTCAAGTGTCTTGCTCAGGGACACATTGTCCCACAGTGTTGCAGTGGGGATCGAACACCAAAGGCATGTGTCTTATCCGCTGCTCCATCGCAAGGGAGAAAGATGTTCAAAGATCACGCATAGACCTCCTGCTACAGAGGAGTGAACATTAACTGTCCCCAACAACCTCTCGGTTAACAGCCGAGTGCGCCACAGAGACATGCTTTTTTTGATGGCTCAGTGCAGTCTTAGTGAGATTTACAGATTCAGGCTAAGTTTAGCTGTATTTATTTAGTGCGAGGATTTTTAGTGGTGGGAAATGAAGGTCCATGGTCGTTGTAGGTAGTGACAGGTCTGTGATATTACACTTGCTACACAAAGCTAATTTCAAACCTTGTGATCAGACCATAATATTGTTGGTCCTACTAACCCCATCGTCTTACCTATCCCTTAGCTTTCTGACAACTTTTCCCTTTACTTTACTTTTTTCCCCTTTCTCTATCTTTGCCTCTGTCTTGTTGGTCTTCTAGTAACTGGATGAGTTTCCAAGTTAGAGGCACCTCTCTGCCACGGGCCCTAAACTGCTGGGACAGGAGTCTGGAGGCAACCCGCAACAACAGAACCCCTGCCAAAGGATGTCCTTTTCACCTTGTGGACACCTGCCAGTGGCCCCAATGCAACCCCACCTGCCCAGCCTTGGTGGATCAGGCCACCCAGCAAGAGCTCACCCTGCTCCAGATGCTGGCAGCCATGGGCCTTGACCTCCAGAAGTTGGGCCTGGATCCCCAGGGAGATGCAGATTCTCTGGCTAGCATGGTCAGCAATGGTGGCTAAGTGTAAAAGTGAGTCGGAGCTTAAGAGACAGCCATGCAAAGGCTTAATAGAGGAAAAATTTGTTTTAATGTAACCATAGAAATAGTACAGTATCTGGTTACATTGTCTTGTGCTGCTCAGCATTCCATTATGCTTCATGTGCTTGTTAAATTGGTGACTTGACTAGTTGGTATGTCACTGAGTCTGAGTGGCTTGGCCGTCCTTCTGCTGGACTTTGGGTCTAAACCAAATGTGTTTCAATTGTACTGATTGAATAGCTTTGAGTTTTAGTAGATGGGTGGACATACTGAATCTCCTACAACACACTTTCATCCTCATGAAAATTAAACAGAGCGTGGTAGTAGAGTTAAATTCTTTTAACGAATAGAGGCTCCCTCAAAATGTCCAAGGCACAGACATGTTTCTTCGGCAGAACTCAAAAAGAAATGTTTGGAGACCATATACTGAAGTTGTCAGCATTTGAAGGTTTATTGACTCTTTCGATCCAACAGTCATTTATTTCAGATGACAGACAACTCAAAATGCACAAAAACTAACACAATAATTTCTTTGCACTCACAGTTCCATAGAAAATGATTGTGATTCTTGTGATGTTTTTTTGTCTGTAGCTCCTGATGCTATGCTAACTTATATATACTATGTAATATATATACCATTTTTTGTGCATGTAAGACAAAAGTGTGATTAGTTATTGATATTTTTCTGTGTAAAGGCCAGCAGGAGTTCACATACTTGACATGTGAAGTCTGCAATAAAAAGAAAATCTCCCCAAAAAAAGATAAACGACGCTGTGGTTATTTACTGCTCAGTTGTCAGGATGATCTATATCTTGTGACATAATTGTCAACATTTAAAAATCATGCTTTTTCACGTCATGGTTGTTTTGCAAGCCATTTACAGATGTTACTGTAACTGTTTGATTTTCATCTAGGTACTGTAATAACTGTGTCAACCGATAAGGATTTGATAAGGACTGTGCCTGCTGATAATAAGTATCAGACTGAGTTGTTGCACATGTTGAAACAGGGAATAAATATATTAACTGGCTCTAACAACATGAACACTTTTCCTTTCTTTTGTGGTTCATCCTATTCTGTTTGTTCGTTATCTTGAAGTCTTTATTATAATGCAATCATAATCTATATGTGAGAAGGTGGAAAAGGAAGATGCCCTGCGATGGATTGACGACCTGTCCAGGGTGTACCCCGCCTTTCGCCTGATGTCAGCTGGGATTGGCTCCAGCCCCCCGCGACCCTGTAAGCAGGATAAGCGGTTGATGATGGATGTATGGATGGAATGAGAAGATGCATTAGACAGAAATACCAGGGCACTGATAACTACTATTTGAGTTGCCACAGAGACTTAAAAACCAGTCAGAAGAGCATTTAAATCTCAGTATTTCCTCTGCCTGGAATAAATAATCTAGAAATACAAACACTGTCTTTGAGTGTCTTGAACAGAAAAAGCTTGTGTCATTGGACATAATGAAAGCAGCAAACACGACTGCATGCGATTATTCATCCTCACCACTGGGTGACGCTGCTTTAAATTTGATACTTATTTACTAGTATTTTTATATTGATCTTTGTGACACCTGGTTCCAAAATTAAGATTTTTTTAATTGGCAAAGTACAGTACAGCTCCTTTAGAGTTGTAGGCAGGCTATACATATATTAATACATTTCTAAGATATAAATATTTCACATTAAATGAAAGTCATATAAACCCTTGCTGAACAAATTTAAGCCACAAAACCGTTTTTAAATGTGCAAATTCTCTCTGCGTCGTTTTTTTTAGTTTGGATTTTTATCGAAGACATGAAAGACTGTCATTTCGTGCTGGTGTGGGTCATCTCGAGTTGAAAAAGTCTCGGATTTTGTTCCCATATTGCATTGCGATTTTTTCGACTTCCTCTTTCCGCCATATTGCAGAACCGGTAAGATGGTTTTTACACTGTCACCTTCAATCTTTTAAGTATCTGAAGCATCTAAATGGTAAATCTTCAAATTATTCGATGATCTTGAAGCGAAAGTGTACGCTAATGATTTGGGACGATTATCGTCTCGATTGGTGAAACGAGTCCAACACAGTTGTACTATAAACTTCATCGAGCAGAGCCTCTGTCCGGCCCTGGGAATTGGTGCGTTCAAAACGCCCCGCTAGCTGAAGCGTTGCGACCACAGGAGTGTCTTTTAATTTTAAACAACTAACACCTGTAAGCTGCCTGTTGAAACCCCGGGTGTTACACATTTCATACGTGGTCGACACTGCGTTGAACGTTGTGTCTTCAGATGTTAAGCGATGCTTTGCTTTGACCATTTCGTGGGCTAGGCTAGGTAGCTATTCTGTGTGCTGATGAAGGACCATGCTTTGGAGAGAGTCTGTACGTTTTACGTGTTCAGTGTTGAGTCGAACAAAAACAGTGTTTCCTGCTACGAGTGAAATTCGGCATCAGAAAAGTGTTAACTAAACGTAACTTGCTAATGTTAGCCAGGTGGTTAACACTAAGAACGCGTCGTGACTTATTCAGGGCTAACCAGGCTTTGCTAACTTCATTTAACTTAGATAGATTAATAGGTGCGGGGTTTAGATGTGTACCTGAGACAGAGCACGATGCTACTTTAAAACAACTTTCCAGTCTTCAGATGAAGGGGCCATCATTTGGCGATATGGAGAAAAAAAATACGGGCTCCCCTCAAGTCTGTAAAGAACCGACTGCAGTTGAATTGTGTGTGGACATAGCGTAGAGTCCCAGAGAACGATATGAAATAAGGCTCAGCTTTGTTTCTGTTCAGACAGGCATCTTCAACTCCTAATACTTTGTGTCTGCAGGCATCATGGTGCGCATGAACGTTCTCGCAGATGCTCTGAAATGCATCAACAATGCTGAGAAGCGTGGGAAACGCCAGGTCCTCATCAGGCCCTGCTCCAAGGTTATTGTGCGCTTCCTAACCGTCATGATGAAGCACGGTGAGTGGCTGAGACAGTTCTCTGGTGTGTGTGAATGGTAAACTGGTATCAAGAAACACTTGGCTAATACTTCGTCCATGTAACAGCGGCAGTGCTCTGGTCCAGTTACTATACATGCTGTTAAGAGCTACTGGAAGGAAGCACACCTTACAAAAGAGCTCTTCTGGTCAGAAAGACAAGTTTGAAGTGTGTTCAACTTGATGTTTGTCATTTGTATCCCTAGGTTACATTGGTGAGTTTGAGATCATTGATGACCACAGGGCCGGAAAAATCGTCGTCAATCTCACAGGCAGGCTGAACAAGGTAAAGTCTCTATCGTTGTTTGTAAATATACAATGCTAGCTGTGTTGGCATTAATGTGAACACAAATTACACTAGACATTTCGAAAGCTTTCTTTCAGAACTACTAAGAGTTGCTCTTCCTAATGCCTCCAGACATGAAATATAACAAAATATACTTGTGAACAGCTGCTTTTATTAAAGTTGCTACTTTAAAGAGTGGGGTGTCCTTGGTCACATGGCTTGTAATGGGCCAGATGGCATTTTACAAAACACAGCTCTGTTTGGAAAGTGGCAAATGCAACTACCTTCTAACTGAGCTGAGGGAACCCAGATGGTGCATCTTACAATAAGCAACCTGTAGCTTTTAGTTAGTTCCTGCTTACTACCGTATGTGTGAATGTGGAGGGTAAACCAGTGTTTCTTCTTGTCTTTCAGTGTGGTGTGATCAGTCCACGTTTTGATCTCCAACTCAAGGACCTGGAGAAGTGGCAAAACAACCTGCTGCCCTCAAGACAGTTTGGGTGAGAATCTGATACACCAACTTTTAAAACTGCATAGCGGCAGTAATGTAGTGTGACTGCCAACTGGAAAGAGTTTAGACATTTTAGATCTCCAGTCCTTCTCTCTCGCATGCTGTGATGCTTACTTTTGCTCGGTCGTCCCGTGTGGTTGATTTGGAAATTAATTTTGCTATTTTTGGTTTTCATTTGAGAGTTGAAGGTAGCGTTTATGCTTTTATGCTCAGAATCCAAATAGGCTTCATATTTGAAGCTATCTGTAAGCGCTTCAAGTACTGGACACTTGTCTGTTTAACCAACAGTGGGAATTATATTGATGAATGTTAGTTTGACATTGTTGCGGAGTTAGAGTAGGTGCTAATGAGAGGCTCTAAGTAGGGATGAATAATCCCACAGAAGCTGTGTAGATATGTATCTACAGGGAATTAGAGTGAGAGGAAACCTTAAATAATTGCATCAATCATTAAAGTTCTTGGGGGTGTGGAGTGTGGCTGGTGTTACTGCATTACTATCACTTAAATGCAAGAGGCTAAAATTCATGTAATTGTGAGCATAATAGCACTTTAATGGTAGGCAATTAGCGTGATTTGATTGTGTACTGAATAGTGGTGGGAATCCCTCACGATTCGATTGTGATCCAGAGGGCTGCGATTTATAAAACGATTATTGATGCATCTATTTTTTTTTTTTTTATGAAGCATTTATTTGCATGAAAAAGAAACATCTACTAATTGGCTTAAAAAGACTAGTTTGCACCCCCTAATTTACTTCATTAACCTCAGCTCCATGGTCCCTTATTTCTTTAACAACCTGTTGTCAGACTCATCTGAAATATAATTAGCAGGATGTACAGTATGTGTACAGGACAGAGCTGTACACCAGTTTTAGTCTAAGCTTGTACCTGATGTTCTCAACCCTTGTGTGATATACAGCTAAGCAAATTAATATACTTTGTTACTAATTTAGCTAACATTACAATGTTGGCTAGTGCTAACAGCCTTCATTTTTCCAGCAGTTGGGGAAACTGCTAACAGACACACTGTGACCTACTATCCACGTTGACTGGCAGGCTGAAACTTAATGCTAATATAAAGATTTTTTTAATACAGGGCAGTGTTTCCCATGCATTCATTTATTTGTGGCAGCCCGCCACAAATCAACGCTGACTGCCACATTGATTTTAGATTTTATTTAAAATTGTCTGATTGCAGAGCTGCAGTCAGTGCGTATTCGCACAGCACATCCCCTCTCGTCCCTCTCGCTCTCCCTAATGAACACAGCTGCACAAATCAGTTCAACACAATGCTGTCAATGTCGGAGACCCAGCTTTAAAAAAAGTTATTAGCAAGCATGAAAGGAGCCTAGCTAATAAGGAGAGCTAAGTTAATGTTAGAAGCAGCAGGGTTTTCAAGGCTAACACGTCAATATCGACTGCTATTGACTAATTTAAACCCATTTACTAATAATGACGTTGAACACACTGAATTGCTGTTTCTGTGGGCGTGTTTTAGTTGAGAATGTGGGATGTTGCTTTAACTTTAATTTTTGAGTATAGCTACAGGAGCTATGGTCAGTAGGGGGTTAGTCTGTTGAAACTCACTACAGCAACTGAGTTCTTTACACTTGATGCTGCCCAAGATGATTCTGTTTATTATAGATGGCCTCGTGTGGTCAGTATTAAATAGTCCTAGTAAGTCTTTACTCTGCAATTTATGAGGCACGTTTGTTTCATCGTAGGATGTCTGTAGGATGCAGTCTATGCATTAAACATAATCACTCTTGGAGAGTACACTGCCTGCCGTAACCTGTAGAGAGCATTGTCCCGCATGTCACAGAAAATCACAGATTTCTCTACGGTTGTAATGGAGATCATAAAATGGGTTTTTATAGCAGTTACAATATAACTTTTATAAAACTTAAAAGGGTTAATCAAATGGTTAGCTATGAAATCAGTGGCTTGATGTCTTAATAGTGTGTAATAGGTGTGTTTTGAGAGCGAGGCTGACAGTTGGCGTCAAGACAATCCAAAAGTTTTGTTTTATTGCTGGTTGGTTGACTTGATCTCATAGTTTGGACCAGGTTGTGTAATCACTGTGAGGGATTCATCTGAGTTTATATGGTGACCTCCCGACTTTTATTTTCACAGATACATTGTGCTGACCACTTCAGCTGGCATCATGGACCATGAAGAGGCCAGACGGAAACACACAGGAGGCAAAATCCTTGGATTCTTTTTCTAAAATGTAAACTGCAAATAAAAAAAACAGCCAGGGGAACGCTGGTGGTCTGCTGTCTATTTCATATCAAAAGGTGTGAGAGGTGGCGCTTTAAAAGAGCCGCAGCTTTTGTCGGGTTAAATAGCAGTCTTGTGGAGAAGACAAATCCTCAGAATAACACTAAGGTGCTGATATTTTTGATTTTCTCATAAGAACACAACTTGACACCAACATACCACAAATAACATGGATTAGACAAAATGGAAACACCAGTAACTTAATCAGATTTGAACATTAAAACAAAAGCAGGTTGACATGATGAACACAGCAAAAAGAATATGTTCTCTTAATTTTGTTAAATTTTCTGTTTTAGTAGATTTTGTTTTTCCTAGCCTGGCATTGCCAGACTGATTTCACATCTCAGTTAATTTTAGACCTACAGTCAATCAGAGCAATGAAACGTGTGATGTAGCGTTGTTGGTACATTAAACTTGTCAAATCTTCTTGGAAAACATCAACAAAAGCTTAAGGGCTGTTTTGTAACAGGAAAAAAACCCCCACCATTCAGTTTGTTTAAAACTGACGGTGGATTCAGCGACAACCATCTTGCTTGTTTAAAGAAACTACCTCAGCTGGCAGTAAAGTTGTGCTCCTCTGTTCAGCCATCGTATAAAAATGCACGATATTAGAAATGGTTGTCATTGGACCGACCGCATCCTGCAGGGGTGGAAATCTGAATGTAAAAGAGGCCGTACATATGTCGGAGTGAATAAAACATGAGCTGGCAGATTTGTGTGGTTCCCAGGTTAGTCTTTATGATCTAAAGGCACAAATGAACCGTTTTTTAAAGCGTATCAAGATGTCAATGTGCAACAGGCGACCAACCTGAAAAGCAAGTGGCTGGAACCCATGTTAACACCAATCTTCATAAAACAAAAAGGATTATCGGTCACAGGTGTCAACAATTGGAGCTCAAAAGAATATACAAAAGGAGACAAGACCCCAGAAGGAAGAAAAGAAACAAATACCTGAAAACAAGTAGAAAACGTTCATTGCAGGTATGTATCAGCCATTACAAGATATTGGCAGTTTTCAAAGCAGTTGTTTGGTAAATAGTCCAAATAGTGCACGTGCACACAAGATGTATTGGAATTTGTTGGACTTGAATTAGGGAACAACATGATTACATGGGATGCTTGTTGGATTGTTAAAACAAAACAGTATATCCATCAAAAGCACAATATCAACTGTGTATGCTTGATGAAATCTTTACCAACCCGTTGATTTGCCTTTGCTGAGGCTTTAAGTGTATAGAACTGAGAAAGTGATAATACATTTATCAGTCAACCCTCTGACAGCAACTGTTGAGGACAAAGGTACACAGCATGCCTATTGAGACCTGCAAAACCATTACAGAAGCTGTACTGCAAGTGGCTGAATTTTGTGACATGAGCAGAGCATACACCCCTCAGAGCCACATCCATTAACACTATAACACTATATACCTGACCATCCAAACAAACCCTTAATAAGCACATCCATGTATTGGCGGAGGCCCCAGCGTCTATTAAGAGCTGCTACATCTTTGCTACACGGTTGCCAGCTTGTAAAAAGCCCTGGCATTGTGCCCTTGCAATCCTCTCACCAGTGTGACCTTTTCTGGGGTCCTCAGTGGATTTTGTCTTGTCCCCAACCTCTTTGGAGTCTGGCCTCACATTAGACTGAAGAAGCGAGGCAGCAGCCTGTTAATGCAACAGCTCTGTCCAAGTGCTCCTTGTCGGCTAAGAGAACACAGACTGCCTGCCTCCCTCAAGAGTTCACAGCACTTAGGCCTAAGCGTTGCCTTGTAAAAGGAAAAAAAAACAACCAAACTCTTAATACTGCTGCAGTTCTAAAGATTGGGGATACCAGCCAAGATGCCAAGCTTGGAGAGTTCAGAAGGGCTGCAGAAGTACTGCTTTCATGCTCTGTTAGCAGTGAGCCTTTAGACATTAAACCACCTGGGGTCAGCTGTTCTGACAGAAAGAAATAAACCAATTGTTCAGATAGCTTGTAAACAGTTTGATAGTACTCGTAGTTTTTTAAGTGGGCAGATGCTGTGAAGTATCAAAGAGCTACTTTAGCGTCCAGAGACTGAAAGAGGGAAGAGGCAAATTTTCTCAAAGAGCAACTTACTGTCTGATTTGGTCAAAGGCTCTGACCATTTTGCGAGTTTGAAATCTGTCAGGAACCTTGAAAGCCTCTCTTCTGTCTCTGCTGTCCTTTTTTTTACTTTGAACTTTGTAATCAAGCAGAAATGCCTTTAAAAATAATCTCTGAAAGAGCACTTTCCTGTCAGACTCCGGGGGAAGGATGCTCCCCTGGGGAGAAATTTGTGAAAATCTGCTTTTAAAAACTAACTTCTGGTGAGCCCTGGATAGTGGCATTTACATACCCTTTCAAGGGGATAAAAAGCAATACAGTTTAATTTCTTACAGCTCATCAAGATTAGTATGTTCTTACTAATCTAAAAATACAGGTATGCAATTAAATGCCACTGGAAAGTGAAGAAGTTTGAAATATCAATAGGAATCTATGTAATTACCAAAGAAGTTCCAGAAACTATGAAGTATTATTTTATTTGTTTTTTTCAAAATAGTTTTGGTATCCAGTAAATAAAATTCCACTTAATTCCACTTATTTTTATTTTTTTTTTTACCAGAATTTGAACTGAATGAATGAAGAGAGGACTTTGTTACAGAAGAAAGAGAACCTTATTAAAATCTCATTTTAATAAGACAAATGACTACAAATCCTGCCCTACAACATAACATGCCTTAACAGAGTTAGGCTACATGTGGTTCATTCCACATTACTAGATAATGACGGTACGTATATTTTTTTAATGATCTAGTATCGTTCATTTAATGTTTCTGTTTTAGTGGCCTTTAATGAACACCATGTCCTATAAGCGTGAGACCAAAGCCAGTGACATGTCACCAGCTTCACAAAATGAAGCAAGTGTGGCGTGGCTACTTCAGACACGGCCTGGGCCGTAGCCAGGCCTTTCCAAAACTGAGGTCACAAGTCCAGGTGAGGTAATGGGGGACCTTAAAGTAGCCACATAAAAATATATTGAGTGAGGGGTATATTGGGGTTTGTATGCCATCAAATTAATTGTTGTTTGACTTTGTTATTATAAGATTACAAAGATTCAAACTTCTAACAACAAGTGCTGAAGTGTATACCGAAGAAATGCTAAATGAGTCATAGCATTGAGTTAGAGAAGCTAGTGGAGCAGTGGCTTATTATAATTAAAGCATCCATATAACCTTCCCTGTATTCTGTTAACGAGTGAATCACATTCCATTATTTAATAGTCTTTAAAAATGTGGATATTGCAGTATAAACACACATTAAACACGTTTTAGGTCATTGCGATAAGTAGCATACCAATAAGTAGCTGAGAGCACCTGAGTAGAGGCTGAAGTCCCGAGGCTCTTTCAAACTGAAAATGGTTTGAGGAAGAAAACACGAGAAGTTAGAAAGGCATTCTGGAAAGCCTCCAAATTTCTCCAAACCTCTCAGCGTTTCTGAGTCTGTTTGAAGACAATATGCCATCATACATCTGGGGATCGGGGTCCGCAGCCTGGCAGCCTCCAACATGTTTCTCCAGTCTTCACCATATGTCAGCTGGATCCCTGAGATGCCCCTGAAGGGTTTAAAGCATCACTGTGCAGGAGAAGAGGAGACGTGCAGCTCTCAAAACAAATGGAATACATTAATACCGAAACAAAAAGTCTGCTGTTTGGACCTCTTTGATAGAGAGAGTAAGAGCCAGAGGGAGCAGGAGAGCATCTTGGTTTGTCTCTGTGAGTCTGTGTTGAATGTATGGGGAACGAATATATTGTTCTTACAAAAAATGTGATGACATGCTTATGTGTTTAATATTTTCTTTAGATCAGAAGCAAAATAACAAACTAAAAAAAAAAGGTGGTTGAACCTGCTGGTGGAATGAAGCAAAAATGGTGGGAAAGTTAAAGGGTCAGTGCACCCAAATCACAAAAAAAACCCTCATTTCCAGCTTAACCCTTGTTGTATGTAGCCCAGAAGTTAATTTCATTTTCTGAGATATCCACCTTTGAAAAATGTCAACAACCCAATATAATAGGTGTTAACAGAATACCCAATGAGCATTGATGAGAATGTAAATATTTCCAATGTGATGCAGGTCCATCCATCGTCAACCACTTATCCTGCGTACAGGGTCGTGGGGGGCTGGAGCCAATCCCAGCTTACATTGGGCGAAAGGCGGGGTACACCCCGGACAGGTCGCCAGTCCATCGCAGGGCCACACATAGACAGACATCACGCCTAAGGACAATTTATTGGCTGTTGAAACAACTGTTTTTTGCAACTAGTACTTTAAATACTATTCAACCATGTTTAGCCCAGTTTTAGCCATGACATCTAGTTATCTTTTGATATGCACATTCTAAAATCAGAGCTGAATGGATTTTGTTTTTGCTTCTCAAACATTTAAAAGTCATATATAAAAAGGTGTGGAGTAAATGGAAGATATTTGTTTTTTGTTCCACTCCAGTGTTGAAATAGTGCCGCATTATCCACATTGAATTTTGTTCTACTTGCTAACCTCTGTCATTCCTATAGAAAAAATCTCCTTTGCCTCAAATAATTCTCTTTTCGGCTTGGGCTGAGAAATGAGAGGACTGTGAAATGATTTGGTCTCTCTGTGTTCTTTCCCAGTGTGATGGTGATGGAGCTTGAGCAAAGCAATTCAGTGCTGCAAATTCCTGGCAGGCAGAAAGCATTTTACAGTTGACACCGAGGTCCTTGTGCAAACATCACATCCATTACCACGGAAAGCCGAGAAACTGACCATTGGAGTCTGGAAACTTATTAGCCGCATGCTATCATGGCATCAGTTTTCACAGAGCACCCTTGTCCAGCTGTACTGTGGATAATTGAAGGTGTTAGTAAGGTTTGACACCAGTAGCTCTATTTGTTCTTGTATTGAAGTTCCCCTACTGAACACTTGAGGGCAGTAGAAATATGTCTCA